AAGAAAGACATGCATATTCTAGAAGATGCTAGCTGACTTGTACAACTATCCTTTGAACACTCCCTGTCATACTAATGAGAAATCAAATCGACCATATTTTTATTAAAATTTTGCATGCACGGCTTGTCAATCAAAACTATAAGTGATCTGTCAGAGCACTGCCTGTTGGAATTCTTACCCTGTTCTCAGGTGCCTGCTGCACTGCAGCGAGTGAGCAAGAGCCTTCAGAACAGCAGCTCCAAAGTATGTCTATCTCGAGTAGTAAGTCAACCAATATCTCATCCCATTCAATTCTTGAGCCTAGGGTTTTCAAGGATACAACCGGCCGCTTTACTACTTTCATGAATCATCCTGAAATCATTCGAATAATCAATGAGTATTCTGAAAGTCGGAATCTTACCCAACACGAAGACTATCTAAGGAATAGGCATGACCTCCATGAAGTTGTGGCAATGAAACTGTATTTGGATGAAAGCATAGTAAAAACTGAACTTTTAAACAAGGGTAGCCCAAAAAGGAAGCAATCCAAAAGGCCAAGAAGCACACGCTGGAATCCAAACTCTGTCTAATCGAGATATCAGGGTTCGAATTTGTTCATATTCCGATCAAGGCATGGAAGTTCCTCATTGATCGCTGTGAAACTGATAAATTGAGCATGCTGGGAACAACGACTATTGACATTGCTGCACTGAACAATCCAGATCTCAGTAATATAGCAGCGTTATATTTGATTGATGTTGGATTGACAGAGATGCCATGCTTATCTAACCTCGCAAGTCTTAAATGGCTTTGTTTAAAAGATAATAAAATCAGCCATGTCAATCTTCAAAGCTACTTTGATGCTGAGACAGGCAACGGTACTATGCCAAAGTTGAAGTATCTAGACCTGTCTAGAAATCCTGTATCAAAGATTGATGCAAGAATTAAAGAGGTCTTCACAAGTAAACCCCTCATAATACTTTCAGAAGAGGTAATGGTAGATCTAAGCCTTCCGCTTAGCGATGTGAAACATGAATTGAAAGAAGCAGGCATCGAGCTTGTTGAGCTGGATGAGAAGAAGGAGAATGGATCAGATGTCTCGAACTAATTAAATTGGTCTTTGATATTGATTTAAAACACTTATATTCATATGCCCCCTCAACCTTTATCCTCTACACCATGTTCTTTAAGACTGCTACTACTGATTTAGTCTGTGGTTCTTGGCATTGGTAAACACGACTTATGTATCCCAGCTGTTGTCTTAAAATGGAAGAGTCATGCCAGTCACTGCACCCAAGGGCAGCACCATAGTAGTCATTCCCAAACAAGAACTGGTGGAGCTATCACCATGTACTCACTGACCTGTCTCCAGAGAAAGACAACAAGCCTTAAAGCTAGTTTACTCCTGTATTTGAACTGACCACAACCAACTCAGTCCTCCAAAGAATCACCACATCCTACCACTCTGTGCTTTTGCTTGTCTCACGCTTTCCACCAACTACGGCTCTTATCCTGTATTACAAAATGCTCCTGAGGGCATTTTACGAGCACACAACCCATCTGAAGAGGAACGGCTTCAGTGCCCAAGAAGGTCCCAGAAGACTAGGATAGAAAGACATGAACAAACTAAAGAATCTTCGAGACCATGCTCGAGGACTTACTGTAGTAAAACATACAAAGCAGAATTAAAGGGAAAGACTATTTCAAGTTGTGAGCCAATTTATTGCAATAAACATCCACCTAGTCTTCGTGAGGATATTCCCCACCAGCCGCCTCTCTCAACAATAACACCCATCTTCACCAGGAAATACCTCGCAAACTCCCTAGTGATCTCTGAGGTCCATTCAACCATGTACTCAACATCCTCAGAAAGATCACTCGATATCTCCTTCTCGTCCCACCGGCACATCCGCTTCTTATCCTCATCGCTGATCTCCGTACTGTCGCGTATCAGCTGTGCTATCATACTCACAATGCGGCCCTCGCTGTTGATCCGTTCTGTCAGCACATCTATCATGTGTTCCGGTGTGAATATCCTGTAGAAGGCCCTCAGTGCATTCCCCGGACGTAGGCGGAATCTGTCCATATCCATTAGCTGCTCCCTACCTATAATACCCGTCTGGAACTCAAAGTCAAGCCCAACCTCGTCCCGCAACTCGTATCTCCAGAAGTTCTGAACATGCACATTCTGCCCCACATTCAGGGGCGTG